TGCTTCCAGTTTTGGGCTCCACAATTCAAAAAGGATGTGGAGAAGCTTGAGAGAGTCCAGAGAAGAGCCACGCGCATGATCAGAGGTCAGGGAAGCAGACCCTACGATGACAGGCTGAGAGCCCTGGGGCTCTTTAGCCTGGAAAAGCGCAGGCTCAGGGGTGATCTGATGGCCACCTACAAGTTTATCAGGGGTGACCACCAGCATCTGGGGGAACGTTTGTTCACCAGAGCGCCCCAAGGGATGACGAGGTCGAATGGTCACAAACTACTTCAAGATCGTTTCAGGCTGGACATAAGGAAGAATTTCTTTACTGTCCGAGCCCCCAAGGTCTGGAACAGCCTGCCACCGGAGGTGGTTCAAGCGCCTTCATTGAACACCTTCAAGATGAAACTGGATGCTTATCTTGCTGGGATCCTATGACCCCAGCTGACTTCGTGCCCTTTGGGCGGGGGGCTGGACTCGATGATCTTCCGAGGTCCCTTCCAGCCCTGACGTCTATGAATCTATGATATATTTACAATTTTAAAGCAATACGGAAGCCTAACAGTACCTCAATTATTATAATAAAATTAATTCTAAATACCTATATATGTTGGCGTTTTTGTTTTTATCACAGAACATCAGAGCTTCCCCTGCCCCCTTCGCTCACAAGGATGCGGTCCAGCTGTGGCTGTCCCCCCCTAACCCACTTTGTGGGGCTGAACAGCCCTGATACACCAGTGTCCTGCCCCTGCCGTTGCCCCTCATTCCCAAACCATAACCCCCTGGCCTTCCTCGCTCCCGACTCACAGGCGCCCCCCCCCCAAACCCACAGGCCCCCGAGCCCTGCTGGTGCTCCTCAATCCCAAACTGCAGCCCTCCAACCCCCACAGGTGGCCTTCACTCCCAACCCATAGACCCCTGGCCCTGCCACTGCCCCATAGTCCCCAACCCACAGCCTGCCACCCGCCCCCCTTGCCAGTGCCCCTCACTCATGACCTGCAGCCCCCTGTCCCCTCTCCTCTCCCTCACACCCTGCCAGAGGGGGCCCCCAGCTGTCAGAGCTATGGGGCAGGGACCAGGGCCCACAACCTCCTGCCCTCACAGTAGCGTCTGAGCCCTGGCTGCCACGGTGGAGCAGAGCACAGAGCCCCCTCCCGTGTGGGCTTTATGGCTGCAGCGGAGCCCGTTGGGGACAGTAGTGGATGCAGACTGCCTGCTGTGGGCTTGGGGCACTGTCCTGCTGCCCTTTCCCCAGGGGCCTCCACAGCCCAGCAGGCAGGACCTGGTACAGCGGGGCACAGCAGCACAGGGAGGCACAACGGAACCACAGGGAGCCCAGTGCCACCATGGCAAAGTGCCCTCTGCCCACCTGGCAGCAGCAGGGGACAAATGCCCCCTGCCCCCCATGCCCCTCTCTAAGAGTATGCACAATGGCAGGGAGCTGCCCCCCACTCATCCTCTGGACGAGCTGCCTGTGGCTCTGTCTCACTCCCCGCTGGGCCTTGCAGCTGCACATTCCCACCCTGGACCTGAGCCCCAGGTCACAGGCCCTGCTCCAACTGGGCAGCACCTCCAGCCCTGCCCAACTCCCTCCCTCACTGTGGGAGGCCTCAGTTCCTCCCCAACCCCCTGACTTACCTGGAGACAGCTGCGGAAGCTGCCCTCCACCACTCTGTCTCGCTGCCAAGTGCATGTGTGTGCGCACATGCAAGTGGCACCCCTGCCTGATCACACTCATCCTGCTCCAGCCCCAAGCAGCCTCTTGTAGGCTGAAACTCTGCCAGCCTGCAAGGAGAAACCTGCTGTTTCCTGCATTATTCTCCTTTCAAGAAGAAAAAAGGAGAACATCCGCATTTTTCTCCTTAAAAGAAATTCTTCAGAAAACCCGGATCCCCGCTCATGAAATCTCTTCCTCTTCACATGGCTGTCTCATATTCAAAGCCTAGTGGCAGACCTTTTGCTAGTGTTAGTAGATGACAGGACAAAGTGAGATGTCCTCGTATCCAATCAGATAGCTGTACAACTGAGAAAGAGGCCTAGTTACTCTCTTACCTATCCCTGGATGGTCTGACACAATGGTTGCACGATACTCCTTACAGAACACCTGGTAGGCAGACATGTTTTTCTTCTTTGGCTGGACAAAAGAAAAAAAGAAAGTGAGGGAAGTTTTTTAAATTATACTAAAGTCTATTTAAGTGTAAGGATTTCCTAGAATTTCTACAAAATCTTTCAGAAAAGGACTACTCTACATTAGTCCACTGGGCAGTAAAGGGAACTCCCAAGAAAAGTAAGGAGTCTGAAGGAGAATTCTTTCATATTTTCTTGGTGAAATCAGCACTCATGAAAGTAAGGGCTTTAACTATTGATCAGAACCAGTCCTAGTCTACTTTTACCCTGCAAAAGCTCTGACAATGCATTTCATTCCCATACTGCAACAACATGTTATCCTAATACAGGATCAATGTACATTTCTACTAATACATCTCAGTTCTGACTTCCAGTACCACTTCGCACTACATTGCCACTACTCCTCACACATCCATCAACTCAGCTCAAATCCTGATATGTAACTACCTTTCGTTCCAGTCCCAGCATCCCTACAAGGAGTGAGATATTAGCAACACAGTGACAGAAGCAGGAGACTCTGCCACCACAATCTGTGATTAGAGAAAGCCTACCCACATTTTAGACAAAACAGTCCATTTCACTGACTGAAATTTATGATGGGCTCTTGGATTATACCTGGCCAATTCCTGACACAATTCAGCTCAGTTTCTGTTAGTCTACTCCAGTGCTTCCCAACCTTTTCCAGCCCAAGGCACACTTACATTAATAAAAATTTTCCACGGCACATTTGTTAAGGCATTCCCCATCCTCAAACCTATTGTAGCTCACTGCCGTGGCAAAATTCGATGGCACACCCATTCCTTTCTGACGGCCATGGCACACTGGTTGGGAAACACTGGTCTACTCTGATTTCTCCCTGTGTACACCACATACTGCAACAGCTCCATTATCTTGCAAAACTCATTTATACAACATTCAATTTTCCCCACTTTCATGTTTATAAATTAGCCATAGAACTCCAGGTTCTCAGCTTACAACACAATTGGAAATGTGCCACTTCACAAAACTAGTATTTGCGCTGCCATATTGGACCAGATTAGTGACCAGTTTTAGTCCAGTATCCTGTCAAGATACTTCAAAAAAAATAAACAAATAAAATAAATAAATAAATAAATAAATAAATAAAGGTGAGAAACTCCATAATGAACAGTTATGACAAACTACTCATAGAAAAAGTTTCTCACTAACCTCCATCAGTGAATGTCTGGCTATGCCCCTGCAGTACCCATCCCATTTGGTGGAGAACAGCAATAGTGAATTTTGTTTTTTGCAAAGCAGTTTCGGAAATGAAACGGTTAATGCCAATACTGCAGTTAACTTTGGGTTTCAACATTTAAAATTACTTTGAGATGGACAGGTCAGTTTGCACTTCTAAGTTACATTTCAGAGAGACAATAACCTCAATATTCACTTGATTCACATAAACCCAACTGAAAGCTCCAGTTCTTGGACAATGGCAGCAATCTGAATTTGCAACTGCAATACCTGATACCTGACCCATAGTTATGCAACATCAGACTTTATATAGAACAATTTCTATTACCTGATGCTGTTTACCTTTTCTTTGTCCTTTTCTGCTTTCTCTGCCTTCTCTTTCTCCTTCTCTTCTTTTTTCTTCTTCTTCTCACTTTGTCCATCTACATGGAATACTGGAGGAGGTGGTAGAGGAGGAGGTGGAGGAGGGGGAGGAGGAAGAGGAGGCGGTGGTGGCGGTGCAGGGAGGATATATGGGGTGCTGGGTGGAGGGGGTGGTGGTAGCGGCGGCGGCGGTACTGTGACTTCTGTTACTGCCACCGAGGTAGGGAGTCCAGAACTCCTCTTAGACTTGGAGTGCTTCTTCTCTTTATGTTTCTCCTTGTCCTTTTTTTTCTTACTCTTTTTCGATTTCTTTTTCTTCTTAATCTCCCGGTAAGAGTCATCTATCACTAACTCTCCAGCCTCCAACTCTCCCCCAGAGGATGAACCTGATTCTAATGGAGGCTCCAACCCTGAAATGTCATACTCGCTCCCATGGCCTTCCGAGAAGAAGGAGGTGTCAGGGCCAAATCCCTCAGAGATGGGCGCTGGATGTGGGTCTGGTGGTGGCTTGTGCTTCTTCCGGGATGACTTCAGCAAGCTCTGAAACTCATGCCCCAGAAGGAATGATCCTTGTTCATCTCGGGCTGATTTCTTGGAGGATTTTTTTGTTGCTACTGGTGCTGAAGAGTAGGGGAATGACTCCTCCTCTGCTGCGCTGCCTCCTTTCTCCTTTGGTGAAAGGATAAGTTTCATCTTCAAGCCATCAGGCTCACGTAGGGTCAGTGTCTCGGTGTTTACATAGAGTGGTTTCATTTTTTTGGATTTGTGGAAGCTCCCATCATCCAGTGATGTCTCTCCACTGCTCCCACTCAGCTTCTTCTTGTGGTGCTCCTTTTTGCTCTCTGAGTACCCAGAGGCAGTAAAGGAAGAGAAAGATGACTTTTCTGAGGTCTTTTTTGAAGCCTTGGAGCCTGTGGTAAGAGGCGTGGTGGTGATAGCCTTGAGGAGGTCCATGGCTGTGTCAGCAGAAGTTGGGCTTGACACTGCTTTTTTCTTCTTCTTTGATGGTAGTTCCAAAGGTGAAAGGTCTAAAAGGGACCAAACCAACACACATCAAACTCATCTCCTCCAAGACAACCCCTCTTCCTACACTGGTCTGAAGTATGACAAGAGTCCCACAGAACTCCTTATGCTCAGAGCTAGCTGGTTATTGTTCTGGCACAGAGAAAAGACCTCTATCCCCTATGGCCAGTGCAAGTCTTCCTTTGCAACGTGAAACAAGCTACAGATGAAGAGAAGCCATAGACTTCAAGCTGGTTAACAGTATAAATTGTGAAGTTGATCAGAACACTTTTGATAAAATATATTTTTGCCAAAAATATGCTACTTTCCTGAAGCCAACCCATTTCAGAGATGTGCTTATCACAACAAACTACCGCCTAAGGTCCACTGTTTTCTGGTTACTTCTAACCTGAGCTTTTCACTCTGAAAAGTTATTTTGAGAAAACTCTTTAAATTTATGGAAACATTTGAAAGATTAGTTTTTGTTTCACTACAGAAAAAGAACACATTTTGACACCTTGAAATACTTTGTTCTGCAAGTAAATCCACAGCTTGTTGTGATAACAGAATGCAAGAGTCACATAAGAAGGGCATGTTAGGGAATTGTGACTGCTCAGTGAATAAGACCTTGTTGTGTTGGAACCCAAAAATATTAGTTCTTCATCCCTCCTCTGCAACCTGGGGCTTTCTGTCCACCTGCTGGGTACGCATCAGCTTTTGCACTCCCCAACAGTTGGTGACTCCTAAATGAAAGAGCGCTGAATACAAAACTGTTACTCTGGGTTAGCAAGTGACCCTTCCTTAAAACCAGGGATCTGTAAATCTTTCCATCTGCCCCATTTCCTTAATCCTGGCCACCTGCTATCCTACCTCCGTGATAGAACTCATCGGAGGAATGCTTCCTCTTCTTCTTGTGTGATTCTGTCCCCAGAAAGAAGAGCTCACTGTCCTGGAAAGAGAAGAAATGAGTTGGAAAGACAGCAGAAAAAAAGAACAAATGTGCACTGGATACTGACACAGGTAATTCTGGAAACCAATATTATTATTATTTATATTACTACAGCAACAAGGAACCCTAGTCATGACGATGACTTTACAGTAGATGCTGTACAAACACAAAACAAGAAGAAGGTCCTTGCCCCAAAGAGCTTACAATCTAAGATAAACAACAGAGAGATATGGATAGGCAGGGGAAGCAATGATTATCAGTCAGCATATGTAAGGCAATGCCTAAAGCACATCAGCAACCTGACTGCTGTTGAGACTTCCATATATACTTGTAGGACAGATATTTATAGAAGATGCTTCTCACGCGAGACTGGCAACATGGAAGATGATAAAAAAGGAGCCTGTTTGAAAATCTAACAAGCTGGCAATGGCAGCTGACATCAGGGCTTGATCGAATGCAAGAGTTGACCTCACCGTACTGAATGAGAGATGGTAGGTAAGGAGAGAAAAGGCTGTGAAGGGCCTTACAAGTGGACACAAGTAGCTTGTTTGATGTACTGGAGAAGGGGGAACCAGGAGAGAAATGCAAAGGGTGGTGACCTGGCCAAAATGACTGACTGGAAAAATGTTCTTACAGATACACATCACAAAACACTTTCATTATTTGTTGACCATTATGAAGGTAAAAAATAAGCTTGTTTGGAGGAATCCAGATGAGGGATGGAAAATGAACCAGCAAATGAAAAAGCAAAAGCAGAAAACAATAGTTTTCCACACCTGCT